GCTATCGCTCCAGTCCCGAAACAGAGGTTTTTAATGCTTAAGTTTTTGCTGAAATTTATGTAGTAAAAGTTGGGGTTTCATCAGAGCTAACCAGTATAGCTAGTATTTTTTTTATCACCATGAAACCATGATAGTAATGTTGTAAATTCTTTTGTATTTTCCTTTTTCAATTTGATACTTTATTCATTGTTATAAAACATTTTCTCTTAACTAAAAAACTATAATCAAAACCGTGGTATTTATTTTAAGGAGACCGTATTCTATAAGAAATTGATGATGTCACTTTTATGATATGTTAGAATTTTTTTAAAAAAAATTTAAAAACCATAATTTTCAATGTTACTGATAGTTGTGTTTTGGGCAACAATTCAACACCAATCCCTACACCAGTGTCAACTTCCTTCCACCAGTAATCACAGACTCCCTCCCATCCCAACCCCATTCCACCCCTGCCTGTCAACTTGACAGACACATTATAAAGTTTTAGTGGTTGCCACTTAGATCTCATGTTTTCAGTTCTGTTGAATCTGTGTTTTGGGTATATGGCTATACCTCTCACTCTTCTTGTTCACTTTCCCTCCCACCTTGATTTGTTCCCTTCTCTGTCTGTCTCCTCTCTAAAACCTGTGGTCAAGGATGATCTAAGCATCCCCCTTTTACTACAACATGTTTCTTCATCCAGTTGTCTATATTTCACATATCAGTGAGATCATCCTGTGTTTGTCTTTCTTTTTCTGGCTTAATTTATTCAATATGATATTTTCCTATTTCAACCATACAGCAGCAAATTGCATTTCATCATTTCTTGCAGCTGTATAGTATTCCATTGTGTGTGTGTATACACCACATCTTAATAAGCCATGGATGGCTTGCCTTTTAATTACGATTTTAATTTTTGTGACTTAATTTTGAAACTTAGGGGGGGTCAATAAATTATTTGAAAGTCAATACAATCCAATAAAAAATAACTTTTACAATGACTTCTAAAAGAAGGAAATTCTTACAACTTAATGATCTTAGAAATGTTTGTCTTTATAGAAAATATATGACTGAGGGGGAGAAGGAAGATAAATCTCAAATTAAATGAACATGACACATCAAATCCACTTTGTAACTGAAGAAACTGACATACATTAAAGATAAAAAAATCGTATTTTGAATATGCTTTTAAAATGACAAGTAAATATTGATATATCCAATTCTTTAAAAATAATGAAGGAATCCTGGAAGACAATTTGGCATCACTGAAATTTGGCAACACAGCTCCAATCCTCCAATTCAGGCTTTTGTAAGAAGAGTGTGAGAGGCAAAGAGGATCACTTTAGCAAGACTTAAACTTATGAAAAACACATGGGCTTTTAGCGCCAGACCTGGATTTGAATCCCAACTCTGCAGTTTTCTAGGAATGTGAACTTGAATGTTTTTGCATCTCCTAAAATGGAATAACTACCTCGCAAAGACACTATGAGAGTCACAGTGAAAGTATATAATGTGCTTGGCACATGGTAGGTTCCCAACAAATCGCAGTTAACAACAACAGTAAGAATGGCTTGAATAAAAATAAAAATATACTGTCAACAGCAAAGATAGCAGAAGTGTAATGGCTAAGAACAAGGACCGAGAGACAAACCACTTCAATTTTGATCCTGGCACTTCTTTTCTTATAGAATTCACATACTACTGAATAATGATTAGACCAGTTTATATGTATATTTTTTCTCTCCACTTAATGGACATACATCTTTACTTCGACATCTTAATCTTAGGCTCTTCATTTGAGCAATTTATTTTTCTTTGCCACAGTTGCCACATTTCTAAGATCATTAAGTTGTAATGATGAAAAGGGAGCAAACACTAGTATCAGCCTCAGAGACTGGTGGTGAGACTAGATAAATTCAGACATGTAGGCCTTCCAATCATGTGAGACCATGCCAGGTTATACGAACTCAATAAATGCTAGCTGTTAATATTTTAGCTGCTGCATGAAGACACTCCACACCTTAGCCAACCACCTGGATAAAAACTGCCCACCCACAATGAAGGCTAAAAAGTTGAAGAAAAAAAATAGTAAAAGTGCACAAATGCCCTGAGAAGGAACAGACAGCATTTCAGACTCCATGATTGACACAATATATGATGAGAAGTTATTTCAAGGACAATCAAAACTGGACTCCTGATTACAACAAGGGTCCCAGGGTTTTCAAAACAATTCATTATGAAAGGAATCTGTGATGGTCACTGGCTTTCAAAGTCAAAGATGAAAAAAACTGAAGAAGGAAGAATGAAGAATGAAGAAGAGGTGGGGGGAGGAGGAGGCGGCAGAGGCAAAGGAAAGCATGCTGCCTTCCCTCTCTCCTTTTCTCTCCCTGCCTCCACCCCCAAGCCTTGCCATATTTCTAAATCCCACTTTTTAAAGGTCGGAAAGCAGCACAAATCCCATTGTGTCACTCTCCAACACATTACTTAAAAAGTTTAGCCCCCGTCACCTAGTAAATGTAATGAAGAAGGATTGCTGCACCCACAAGCCATCCAAGAAACAGCTATCCAACCAGAGAATTCCAATTCGCAAAGATAACGTATAACCCTGCAGCTCTGGGTGTTGTTCTGTGAGGAGGGATGAAGAGGCTGGGAGTCAAAGCGTCTCAGATGATGACATCTTAACCAGGGTGAAGAACAGGGCACCCCCTCTGCTGTCTCTGCTCCAGGTCTTCTAAAGACCTTCCTGTCACAGGACCAGATTGCAGGGAAACATTTTGGCTCAGGTCCTCTGGGTCTCTAGGAAAAGCAGCAGGAGCGAGTGTGAAAGAGCCCACTTGGTAGAATAAGGTGAGAGAGAAGAGGCACTTTCTTTTTTTAATAGGCTTGCCTGGTTGCAGCTCACTCCTCAAGAACAGTAACCTCAGCAGCCACTTCATCACATTTCTACTGTAAAGGATACTGGTCTGTGCCAAGTCCACACCAAAACACCCTCCAGAATTCAGTTGAGATTAGGTCATCTGCAGTCTATTGACAGCTGATCTCAAAACTCTCAAAACTCCTAACGAGGCATCTCAGCAACAGAATGTGTCCTGCCACTAATGAGGCTCTTTTTCCATGAATAATGAATAAGAACATCGTCTCTGTTGCCAGGTACACAACATAAACAAAGCTCAACACTAGGGCCTTGGTATGGGGAGTCTGTCCATTTGCAACAAAAGAATTTTTGCAAAGTGTGAGCCAAGTTTTAGTGGAGGGTGGGACGGGATGTTGTAACAATGTGAACATATGTTATCAGAATCTAATAAATCAGTTTGGGGTGGTTGTGGAACAGAGGCTATGCAATGGAATACACGGAGTCAACAGGAGGATCCAAATGAGTTCATTTCTTTATTTTACAATCATTCTTAGAACACAAGACTGTTGATTCCTGTAATGAACTGAGGTCTTTATGAAAGGAGCCTTAGGAGAATTGAAATCCCAGAGCGCAAATCTTTCTTCTTAAGGCATGATAGACCAGATTAATTTAAGGTTGATTCTGGAGATGAGAAACTGGAACCTTGCTATGGCACTGATGCCTCAGGGTGGCAAGTGAAAAAGTGTATGACCATCTCTAAGCCCATGTATGAGACTGGGGTCCTTTTGGATACAGAGACCCCCAACGTATGAGCCTTTTTCTTATCACGTAACCTCATGCCTTAGACTCCCAAGGTCAGTCAAACAGTGAAATTCCAGCATATAAACAGAGAATAAAAGTGAGCTGGAATGAAGGCCAAGCAATCTTTACTTTGTTTACTGTATAGCACACACCACAAATACTTTTCTCTCTAAAATCAGTTCCATACTAGGTAGCCTATATCTTATTACACGTTTGCATAGGCCAAGGGATGCCATTGCTGTTAGTTTCCATCAATCTGAGCAAGAACTAACAAGAAGTCAAAACAAAAGCAGTCTCACACTGCCCTAGTTGTCTCGACGTCAGAGGGCTATAATGCCAGTCTATTCCAGGATTCCTTATCAAAAACTGTATGTTTGCTCTATATGTGTCATGAAAATATGGAAATAAATTTCTTAAGTGCATTAAACAAACATGTTCGCTAAGAAAAAATTTACAAAGCAAAAACTGGCCGTGGGAAAAAAAAACATTCCCCAACATATATTTTATAGAAAATTAATGAAATTTAACAAAAGAGCATAAAGTTCTACAGAAATTCCAGTAGCTAGAACATAGTAATTATGTGAATACTGTTTGTACAGTTAAATTAACAGTGATTCCACAGTGTTATGAACAGAGGAGTTCTCAAATCTCTAGAATATAAGAGTGTATTTTTCTGGATTACAAAAAATAGGCAAGCACGGGAGAGATAGTACAGATATTATAATCGAAGTGTGCCCTGCACAAGGAATACCAGGTTTGATCCCCAGCAAGGAATGGTCCCCCATAAGCATTACCAAGTATGGCCCTAAATCCCCCATCTGACAAAACTGCAATATGGAATATGCTCAAATTGCATGGCAAAACACATCAAAGTCCCTCAAATGAAGAAATAGAGGTTTTCTGCCAGTGAGGAGACTGGAGAGGAAGAGGACATAACTTTATCTTCAAATATTTACAAGGAAGACATTGGGGTAGTCAAGGACTAGTAGCTGTTCTACACTGCTTCAAAGCATCAATGTGACCCAGAGGTAGAGATTAAAATGAACCCTGTGGTAAGGGATAGAAGCTAGAACAATTAGTGATATCCCAACAGGCCATGTACTATCTGCATAGAATTGAGTGTTTCCTTACCATAAAGCAGAGAAGGGAAAAGTGTGAGGGGAAGCAAGAAGAGAATGGCACAGATCATTCAACATTTCTGAACAACTAACCAAGAGAGCTTACGAATTTATAGGGTTGTAGGTGAATGTTTTCTACGATGATAGATATCCAAATGTTGTGCAATTTGAAATTATCCATCTGTTCTAGTTATTGAAACTCCTGAACAGAAGACTAGTCAACTAGAAAAAAACTACCAATGACTTACCATCATACTTTGCTAAGACTGCCTGAACATCAGCATATGCTTGTAGTTCCAGAAGGGCTTCTAAAAGGTTTTCATGGATATTGAACATGCTCAGAAGGGGAAACTCCTTCATCAACTAGGAAAAAAGAAACCATGGAATAATTAATAGGCATTGCTTATTTTTAATATACATAATTATAAAATATCTATGAAAAAAAGTATCACATAATTTTAAAAGTATAGTTAATACTGAATTATAAGCATCCAAACCCTTTCTTCTGCAAAGCCTTAGAAAGAGAAAAATAATTGTGCTAAAAAAACAAGATGATACTCTGAGGTAGTACTCAATGATGTTAGAGGTCAGAGAGGGCAAACAAGATGAAGGCTGAAAAGTCATCTAATTAGAGTTAACGATTTAACGTTGTCTAGAGTAGTCTGGGTGGAAAACAGAAAAAGAAGGATAAGCAAGCAGAAATTGCTCTCAGGTACGTTGGTGACAAAGGGGTAAAAGTAGTGAAATAACTAGAAGAGTTATAGAGAGAGGAAATTTGTAGGTAGTGACGGAGTAGTAGGAAGGAAGTACCTCTTCGTGAGTTCTGGAGAGGAGACCTCAACGAAATAGGTCAGTATGATTTTCTGAGACGAAGGAAATAGATGATTTTGAGATAACCTGAAGAGGTTGATGAAAGTGCAGAATAGCCACAGAAAGAAGGATGGATTAGGGAAACAAGGATTACTGATGCCATCTTAAGGGCCAAAACAATTGGTGACCATGAACTTAGAGCCTACAATTGGTACATCTGTGCCCTTTCAGTTAACAGAGCTTGACAGCTCACCTATAGTTGCAAGAATGTCATATGACTAGGCTGAACCTGGACAGACTGAGTTTGACTCAGTGAAAAGTCAAAGATGAAGATGGGGCTTGAGTGATAGTATAGCAAATAGGGTATTTGCCTTGCATGTGAGCACAGAGCCAGGAGTAGGTCCTGATCACCACTGGGTATATAGATCACAAACAGAAGCAAGCAAAAAGATTAAGAGAGCTGACCATGATGAGAAAGAAAAGGACTAACGGTCCTAGTCAGGACTGCATGGGAGAGTAAAGCCAGGGCAGTTAAAAGATATAATACTATATTACTGGGAAGCAAACTGGAAAGCAAAGAAAAGAAGAAGGCACAAAGAATTACAGAGGAAAATCTTAGAGAGAAGCAAATAAATGTTTGTGTCTGTGTTCTTTATTTCACATCCTACATGGACAATTGCCTTCTATTACATAGTTTCCTAAAATGGGTGATATGGTCTCTTGGGAGGTGCTGGAGCCATTTATGATGGTGGCGGTAGTCTCGGGTACAATTTTATATGTGTTTTGGGGAAGGCCTCTGTTTGCCCACTTGAAGAAGGTAAATTTTTCTGAAAACAGACAGTAAGTCCAGTAAGTTCATGAAGGTTGAGACATGTGGTATTGTGGATCAAACTGGTTGTCTTGTGCGTGCATATGCTCCAGTCTTCGAACTATCTCTCTCACCCTGTGATGCCTTTTTCTTCTATTTTTCCTCTATGTACCACATAACACAGAGAGGTCATTCCAAGCATGACCGAAGAACCATGTGGTTCAGGGGATTGAGCCTAGTACTCCTGCATGTAAACTGCTCTCTCTCTCTTTCCCTCTCTCTCCCTCTCTCTAGTTTTTGCAATCAACACAGCTTTAAATCAATTGTGCTCAAAGAAATATTGCTTGAAAACAGAAGTCATGTTAAATAAGAAAGCAATGGATACAATACAGTGACTCCACACTATTCTACATTCTTATTATTTGCCATGCTGTTTTGTTTTCCAAAGCCAAGAATCATTTAGCATATCGCTAAAAAGTTTTGCAGTCCAAAGAGTGTCATATTACCAATAAAAAACACCTATCAAAATGATTATGTGTCCAGTAGGATTGTCTGACCCCCTAAAGACAGTGTGTAGTATTTTCATTGCTAGTAAAGGAAGTGAACAAGACTATACCACACATTGTTGATATTCTGCAACCAATAAAAGTGTTTCTTGTTCTGATTCACTTTGATTCTGGTTGACATCATCCTTTGATTTTTTTTCTTTTCCTAATTAGAGCTTGTTAGAATTAAATCTCTCTGTCATCCAGCATTTGGCAAAGCAATAAAGATACTTCTCTAAACTGTAATATTGAATCATTTACCATTCTTGGCCAATTTTTCAGGTAAAGGTCAAACTTTAAGGACACAAGTAATATTCGTAATCCTACATATGAGTACACTGAAGCTTAGAAAGAAGGAAGTCTTAGAGACTCCAATGAGACCACATGAGCAAATATGAAGGTCTTGACTTATTTAACGAGAGCTTGAAGAAAGAATCTAGGGACCTGGGCAATGTGCTTCCACTGAAAGTCTGGACAGAGTAGGTCATATCCAAAAAAGAACTGCCTATATGAGGATGTTACATATGTGAAATAGCAACTGCTGGAAGGGTAGTGCATTTATGTGGCAATTCAGAAATCAAGCAAGCATTTTCAATGTAAATATAAAGAGAAAATGTGCTTTCTGCTTCACCACCCACCCAAGCTCTCACCTTGACCTCTCCAGCCCTTCACAAGGTGTGGTAAAAAATGGCCCATGGACACTCCATTCCCTCAACTCCCTTTACTCCTCACTGCAGTTATAGTCTGGCTTCTAGCCTCTCAGGCGCGGCTCACTCCACACTCACAAGTGACCTTAAATCACTTCTGTGGACACCCTCCAAACCTTTTCTTGCTTGACCTCTGCAACACTGGATAGTTCGGTGACTTTTCCCTTAAAACACTTGCCTCTTTTGGCTTTCTCCACACCATGCTCTTCCAGTTCCCTTAACACTTCTCATAGCTCCATCTCTGGTGTCCCCCTTGCTTGCTACTTAAAAACAGACTTAGAAGTCTGTGTGCTTCTGTCCAATCATCTGACCTCAGGGACCTGCTTTCACATGCAGGAACTCAACAACAACCTCTGTCCAGGGACACCTTCCACATTTTCACCTCCTGTTTAACTTCTCTCTTTGGCTACTTTATTCATTTATCAACTATTTTACTGAAAATTTGTTTAACAGACCTACTAAGCTCATAAATTCTCCCACTCCAAGCCCACAGTTCAAACTTAGTCTTCTTTCTTGGCATTTCCAAATTTGAAATAAAACTCCCCCCACCCTTATTCTATAACCACTAAAAGTAAAGTAAAGTAAAGGCCCTCCCGTTGATCATCGATTTGCTCGAGCGGGCCCAGTAACGTCTCCATTGGAGACTTTGTTGTTACTGTGTTTGGCATATCGAATACGTCACGGGGAGCTTGCCAGGCTCTGCCGTGCGGGCGAGATACTCTTGGTAGCTTGCCGGGCTCTCCGAGAGGGGCGGAGAAATCAAACTCCGGTCGGCCATGTTGGCTGCATGCAAGGCAAATGCCCTATCGCTGTGCTATTGCTCCAGCCTTTTGACACTCATGTCCAGTATAACCACTAGAGAATTTTTTTAAGTCAAGATTTTTTTATCAAGTTTTGTACAAAGCTCTGTTGAGCAAATAAGCATATGCTTTAAGAACTGTTCCCATCTCTTTTCTCTGATAATATTTAGTTAATGCCCTCATACTTGTTGTAAAGTGCTCAAATAGCATTTCTCCTCTGCATTCCTCCTGATCACCACTTTCTGTTCTGTCCTTCACTGGACTATCATAATGGCTTTGCAAATACATAAATTGGAGTTGTCACCACCCTGCCTAAAAGGCAAACACTGATATGCTGGACCCACTCCAACTGGCAGATGTAAATACAAATTTATAAACAAAGTTGAGTATCACAATATTATTCATAACAATGAAAATGCAAGCAAATTAAAATTTAAACCATTATGTGTCCATGAACTGTAATAACATATTTCATCCTTAGGGGTTATTATATGTCATTAGTGCTTTAAATTCTCAAATCATTTTAATGGCATGACTTGGGAAATGCTGACTTACAAAGTTATATTAGAAAAAAACCAGGATAAAGGGTCATGGATATATAGTTCAATACACTGGGACAAATATTTTGCATGCAGAAGGTACGAGTTTGATCCCCAATATCATATGATCACTGAGCATGACCAGAAGCAACTCTCAACCACAGAGCTGAGAGCAGCTGAGAGAACAGAAGGAGAGAGGAGGGGAGGGAAGGAGAGGGGGAGGAGAGGAGAGGCAAGACATAAACTACTTTTGCAATAAGGCCATATTTTTCTTCAATATAAAAACACTTGGCTAGAAATATAAAATGTTGGGGCTGAGAAACAGTACAGTGGGTAGGGCATTTGCTTTACACGGAGTCCACCCAGGTTCAATTCCCAGCACCCCAAATAGTCCCCCGAAACCTCTAGGAGTGATCTCTGAAGAACCAGGAGTAAGCCTTGAGCACCACTTGATTTTGTGTATATGGATACACAAAATCAAATGTCTCTCTCTGTGTGTATACACATACCAGAGTGATTATTTCTGGCTTGTGAATTAAAGGTGCTTTTAATTTCTTCCTTTGCATCTTCCATGTTTTATTATTTTTTGGGAGGGGGTCACACCTGGCAATGCTCCGGGGTTACTCCTGGCTCTGCACTCAGGAATTACGCCTGGTGTTGCTCAGGGGACTATATGGGATGCTGGGGCTTGAACTGAGGTCAGCCACATGCAAGGCAGATGCCCAACCTGCTGTACTATTGATCCAGCCTCATCTTCCATGTTTAAAAAAAAAATTAAATGGAGTATTTAATATAAACTGCATCTTCTATAAACTGAGGAGAAAAAAACTTTTAAAGATACTGACTTATTCACATCATATTCAGTATAAAATACCAAATTCTTAATACCACCTCCTAAACACAGCCCCTTATGACCAGTGTCTACTGAGCCAGCCTCATTTCAAGTCACTTTGCGACACATTGCACTCTAGCCATTGAACAGCTCTCACCTCACTGAGCAGTAGTCACATTCACTAATGTTTCTCTCTCCATATTCACTCTTCCTTGGTGCTTCTCCTTCTGTCTCCTGGGTGGATCTGGTCAGTTGTTCAAATGCCAGGATCCCTGATCTTCCCCCAGACTCCAGACTTCTTACTCTCCACCCGCCAGGTGAA